AGGAGGTTCCACTTCTACTTTTCAAACATGTACGGTTGTGTAATCAGTTTGCAGCCATTTTCATGTGAAAGCGTTGAGGTGGGGGTGTGGCCAGCAACAGCTGGCTTGGATTTAAAGATTTAAAACGGCTCAGTCTGAAAGGAGCTACGACAAAGGAGAACATCTGATGAACATGTTTTCGATCCATAAATGTATCCTCTCCTGATCAATGAAGCGTAATCGTTCACCTTTAACTGATCAGACTGAGGACTTGTATCTTTTGTATAGCATTAAAATTAGTCATGATGTTTTTCAGTCTAACATTATCCAGCTCAAACGTCACACTGATTGCCTGGTGACGGTCGGTGTCAATTTTCTCAATAAGGAAACATCCTCAAAGCTGATAAGAATAAAAACCAAATAAACTTTTACTTTCAATCCATCAACATGGAAACGACAGGGAGCAGAAAACCAGCAGTTTGACGCGACTGCAGGCATTTCAGTCCTAAATCAAAATATAATTCAGCATTTTTTGGTCATTTGGTCAATATTTCTGTGGACATGAATGGATCCCGGAGCTGAATCAGTATTAAGCATGAAATCCTTTAAACATGGTGGGAAAGCTTTAACCAGATATTTGAGCAGACGGTTTTCTGAGCAGCTCTGCTTGTGCATCCTTGCTGCAATTTGCTGCAGAGTGTTACATGTGTGCAGCGCGTGGGCAGCAGCTCAGAGCGGCTTCAGCCTGTCAGGGAGTCTGGGTTCTTTAATCTTCATGCCTGATTCTCACAAGCATTTCAGAGACGATTCCAGGTGCAGGCGGCTCACGATCCGCAAATATGAGAGAAAAATCTCCAGAGTGGATTTAATCTGTGGCTCAGATTTAGGAAAAAACTCCCAAAAACTCTGAAACATGAACATTAGTCATTATCACCACACATTTATTCACCTTACAGTCAAACACTCACGTCAAATATTAATAAAAACATTTTAGTTTTATTCTTGGGATGGATACTATGTAAATTTAACTTTTTGGAGTTTTACATCATGTTATGATCTTATTTCCTCACATCTGTTGCTTTGATTCTTCATTCATGTTTCAGAACATCTTTAATCTCCATGGCAACCATTCAGCTGTGTAAAACAGCGGGGTGGACTAGCCCCGCCTACGAGGCGCAGCTCCGCCCCGCGCAGCTCCGCCCCGCGCAGCTCCGCCCCACTCAGCTCCTTCAGACTAGCCAGCAGCGATTAGCAAACAGCTGCTGGAGCTGCTGCTCAGAGCAAAGCTGGTTAAACATTAAAGGGTTAATAGAGGAGCCATGTTGGGACGACTTTATGGAGGCGGAGCTTCGGGAACAGCAGGAGCTTCTTAAAGAGACAGATGCCCAATTTCAAGGTGCTACGTTACAAAGTCAAATCTCTTGTCGGCACTGAGACGGTTTTAGTTAAGATACTGCAGAATTAATCAAATTTATATTGCACATAAAGATAGATTCCTTAAATTCTGCTCAGACTGTTCATTTCGGAGATAATTGCACTTTACATTTGGACCGCAGTGGTACCATCAGAACCACTTCGGAGAAAGACAGATGGTCTATTAGCTCTAGTGACTGGAGGACTTCATGTTTCTAAGAACAGATCAGGTTTTATTTTCCCCACTGATTTCATCAGAAGACGATTCCAGGCTGAGAACAGAGTAAGGACTGATTTTATCTTCAAACGTGTCTTTAATTTGTAGTTAATGAGCTAAAACATGGAAAACAACCAGCAGTCTATTATAAACAGTTTCCTTCAGAACATTCCAGGAACGTTCTCAGAAAAAAACCCAGCGCTCAGCTCGGCTCGGCAGAGCCGCAGAGATATTGATTGATGTTGGACCGTGTCTGGCTCCGGCTCGGGCCCCGGGGCCCCCAGGGAGCCGAGCAGACAGATGGAGAGGAGGGTGGCGGACACGGAGGGAGAGCAGCAGCTCGCCTGGGCTTAACGCTGCAGAGCTATTGATTGTCACCAGAGATAAAATCCTCCTGAAGCCGAGATGACAGCCAGACAGACGGAACAATCCGGCAACGGAGCGCGGTCCCGACCCGACCCGGCAGATTACATCCACAGCAACGAGATTCCTCAGTATCCATTACCGATATCTGCTTTAATCCACTTTATCTTGTATTGGCGAGTTTTCCTACGAGGTTTTGCTGCTGGATCAGAGCCGTGAGCGCGTTCAGCGCCGAGACAATAGGAATCTTCTCCAACGCTGCTGGAGCTCCAGAGGCAAGAAGGGAAAAATACTGAAAGTAATCAGGGATTCAAAACAGCAGAAACTGAGAATAAAAGTAATTAAAGGAGAGGAAATCTGACATCATTTAATGGGTTCAGATTAACGCTGGCGTCAGATAATCTGCAGAACGTTAACCTGATCAAACTGAACGTTCAGATGATGCATAGGATTGATGTGCAGCTCCAATGCAGGTTCTAATGCAGGTTCTAATGCAGGTTCTAATGCTTCCATCCTCAAGACTGAAAACCGGTGATTTTGCATCTGAGCTTTGAATTCTTCATCTGAAAAGAACCAAACCTGACTGATCCACACATCCTGTAGCAACTCAGTTTCTGAAAACTGAATTTGATTATTAGTGTCATGTGAAGCGAAAAGCGAAAGGTGTCTGTTACTGTCAGGGAAACATCTGAATGTAATTAACAGGCAGAGACTTTTGATCTGTTCAAACATCCATCTCTAAAACAGAAGTTGTGCAGGTCCAGCAGTCAAACTAAATTATTTTATCAGATCGGCATCAGTAGATGTTTTCTCAGTGATCTGCCTGCTTATCCAAATGTTGTTCCTGTAGCTCTAACCATCATTAAAGCACCTTTATGGTCTGACGGCTGCAGTTACTTCTGTTTCTGCTGATCAGCCAAGCGAAGGTTCCTCATGTTCGACACCAAACACTTCAGCAGGTTCAGGTGACTCTGGATTCCTGCATTTGCTGGGATCGGAACAAAAAGGGAAGGTATTCAAATAATGCACAAAGCATCTCGACCTGTGCATGATTGATAATATGCAAACACAGCTGGGAACACGAAGCCAGTCCTCCACGAGGAAAACCCACAGTCTGCCTTTCACAAAGACTCAGAGAAAACGCTAAATAACACAATGCATGAAAAGGCTTTAATAATGAGCTGCTAGTCAGCAGCGTTGATGTTTTCAGTGGTTTGTGTGTGCGATATTGGATCTGGAGTCCAAACTGGACCAGAAGCTGCATTTTTATTATGAAAAGGCAGAAAACTGTGTTTTAAATTACAATGTTTCCTTTAAATAAGAGACAATTATAATGAATGAGCTTTTTAACACAATAACTCCTCATCCTAACACAAAAAAAAACTATCAAAAACCAGGAGTTACTATCAAAATCTGCCATCAAGAAGATTTAATCTGAGTTTGCTGCGTCGACGCAAATGCAGGTAATAACGGCAGAAATCTTTCTGTCGGTCTAAAGATTTGGTGGAAACCGTAAAGAAAACTTACATCCAACAGTGCAGAATCCGGATCAGGTCCATGAAGTTACGTCACATTTAAAGCAGAGCAGGATTCTTCCTGAAAACCCGAATGATCCAAATATTGAGATACTGCAGCAGGTTGTGCTGCAGCAGGTTGTGCTGCAGCCACCTCCAGACTGCAACACAGTCTGGAGGTGGGTCCAGATCAGAAAACTGATCCAAACCAAATCCATAATCAATGGTTTTTTGCTGTTATTATTATTACACCTGCAGTGTGTCTGATCTACGTGGTTCAGGTGGAGAAGCAGAAGCCAAAACTGATCAACCCTGAACCAAGAAATTGGTGCAAAATTCAGAGAAAATGAAAGACCTGAGGGAAAATGTGGATGTGATGCAGGTGAAAGCTTAGAATCATGTCAGAAAGCCACAGCGCCGAGTTTTAGCTGATGTTCCCTCTGAGTTAAATCCTGATGTGATGAAAGAATCAGAAACCTGAAGTCTGGTGTCGCGGGTCCGAAAGCGACGGCGTGTTCGAAGGAGATTATTGGCAGGACTTCCTGTTGGACAGGAAGACGCAGCCAGCTGTCGCAACAGATTTGAGTCTCTGAAACCACTAAAATATCCTCAGCAGCTGACGCTCCGCTGGGTTTTCAGGGTTATGATTTCCACTTTATTCATGCTATATTCCTAAAATATACATGAAATGGCTGCTTCAGGCTCTCCAGAGGAAAGAAGAATCAAAACTAAAAGAAATGATTATCTGATGGTAAAACCAGCAAACTGGGACAGAGAGACGGTAAATCCAGGAACAACTGGACATCCTCAGCCGGAGCAGTATCTGGACAAACAGGAGAAAATGGACAAATCCACTAAAAATGTCTAATATAATAACATACATGATGCTGGAGGCAGGGAAATCATCCGAGGCTCATGAAACAAAAAATGACATAAATAAAAATATTTAAAATGAAATGCAACTGAATAAATAGTTTCATCCATTTCAGTTTGTTCATATAGCAACAATTTTCCATGAACATCTCAAAGATCGTTAGAAAGAAATGAAAACAAAACAGTTATTACATAATAGAAGATAAACAAGACAAGAAAACAAGCAACAATAAATGTAGTCTTTAATAATCTTTAATCTGAGCAGAAAAGTCCAGGTTTAACTTTTTACAAAAATCAGGTAAAGTGCTTAAAATTTGGAAAAATAACATTTATTTTAAACATTGGATTTTAAATTAGTTTCTGTTCATTGTAGAATAAAACTATGTTTGGTCTAACGGAGGATTCGATCCCATCAGCGTCTCTGAGGACGTCTACCTGGTTTTTATTTTGAGTTGATCCGTTTCGCTCCACAGAAACAGCAAATTAAAAAAACCCTTTCCTGTTTGCTTTAAGAAGACCCGGCATGGATTCGTTCCCCGGTGGCTCGGATTCGTTTGTTTTCCCTTTTGAAACTGAAAGATGTGGCGAATAAAAAAGGAGTTTGAGTCCAGATTGACGCGCTGGCTGTGTTGGCTCCGCGCCGCGGCTCTGCTAATTGAGAGGATTTACGCTGCCTGGTTTTTATTGATGCTGCCAGACTGGAGAGGCTCTGGGTCGGAGGTTCACTCACAGATATGTTGTTGGATTATTGCAGCGAGGAACGGCTGAGTCGTGACCTCTGGTGGAGGTCAGCATGTTTTCAGTTCAGACGCTCGTTAACGTGCTACGTTCAATTTGTTCCCATAACCAAAGTTTAAAAAAGCTAATGAGTTTCAAATATTTAGAATATTTCCTCTGGTGTGTTTATACGTTGTCAGAAAGTTATTAGTATCTTTATTGTACATAGATTTATATTTCTTATGGCACAAACTGAAGATTACAGCCAAATCAAAACCCTTTACAGGTAACTGTGAGTCCATTTCACTCAGTAACAACTTCCACACCAAAGAGTTATTTTGAAACTGTAAAAAACATTTATTTTTGATGTTTTATTATGAGAATAAAGAAATTATTCTTGAGAATGTAACTAAGCAGCAGTCATTGGTTATTTATATCAGGATTAGAGGCAATTAGCAGAGCCGCGGCGCGCAGCCAACACAGCCAGCGCGTTAATCTGGACTCAAACTCCTTTTTTATTCGCCACATCTTTCACTTTCAAAAGGGAAAACAAACGGATCCGAGCCACCGGGGGAAGAATCCATGCCAGGTCTTCTTAAAGCAAACAGGAAAGGGCTTTTTGGGTGAGAGGCAGCAGTCTGTCTGCCTTCCTGTTATCTTCTAAAAGTCTTCTCCTCTCTGTACTAACTTTCACACTGAAGAGTGTTGTTGTTGCCCTGGCTTATGGTGTGTTCACTGACCAGAAAAGATTGGATTTTGAAACGTTTGTGCTGGTGAAGGTGAAATCCGTCAGATTCTGATCACCAGCTGCTTTCTGGACATTTCCAGTAATAAACCTGAAATCCTCCTCAGAGGTTTGTCTGGTAAAGATCCAGTAACGTCACCAGGACATTTCCACAGTCAAACTAAAAGTTTTCCTTTTATTCCCAATGAATCCAGTAAGTCAGTCTGAGACGCCAGTATATTTTTTTCTTTGTTTAACCTTCCTGCCCGTCCGTTTGTCATGTTTGATTCCTCCGTTTGGATCTGCAGTGTGCAGGACGACGTTACCTGCACACAGAAACACCTTCAGTCATGATCTGAACAGCAGCAAGCGGAGAATCGGCTCCGACTCTCCGTCACTGTGACGCCGAGCAGACAAATGTGTCTCTGCAAGGCTGTTTGTGCTCAACCCACCATGTCACATCTATTAGTCTGCCTGCTCTCCAACTGCGAGTGTGTGTAAGGGTGTGTGTGAGTGTTAGGTGTGTGTGTGTGTTAGGGTGTGTGTGTTAGGGTGTGTGTGTGTGTTAGGGTGTGTGTGTGTTAGGGTGTGTGTGTGTGTGTTAGGGTGTGTGTAGGGTGTGTGTGTGTTAGGGTGTGTGTAGGGTGTGTGTGTGTTAGGGTGTGTGTGAGTGTGTGTTAGGGTGTGTGTGTGTGTGTGGGGGTGTGTGTGAGTGTTAGGGTGTGTGTGTGTTAGGGTGTGTGTGTTAGGGTGTGTGTGTGTGTTAGGGTGTGTGTGTGTTTAGGGTGTGTGTGTGTGTGTGTAGGGTGTTGTAGGGGTGTGTGTGTGTTAGGGTGTGTGTAGGGGTGTGTGTGTGTTAGGGTGTGTGTGTGTGTTAGGGTGTGTGTGTGTGTGTGTGTGGGGTGTGTGTGTGTGTTAGGGTGTGTGTGTTAGGTGTGTGTGTGTTTGGGTGTGTGTGTTAGGGTGTGTGTGTGTGTTAGGGTGTGTGTGAGTGTGTGTTAGGGTGTGTGTGTGTGTGTGTTAGGGTGTGTGTGTGTGTGTGTTGGGGTGTGTGTGTTAGGGTGTGTGTGTGTGTGTTAGGGTGTGTGTTGGTGTGTGTGTTTGTGTGTGTTAGGGTGTGTGTGTGTGTGTTGGGGTGTGTTTGTGTGTGTGTTTGTGTGTGTGTGTTGGGGTGTGTGTGTGTATTGGGGTGTGTGTTAGGGTGTGTGTCCAGGTGTGTGTGTGTGTGTGTGTTTGGGTGATTTTATTCTTATTATTACCACTTTATTCTAATCATACCACATATTATTCATTCTGATTATATTAAAATTTTATACATGTATTATTTTGACTTTATTTTCGTACAACTTTCTCATATCTTCCTTATATTAAGATTTTATTGTTATATTTTAGATACGAGTTCATTCTCGTCATAATTTTGTGACTTTAAAGGGACGTTTCATTTTAGTTTTCAATTATTTCTAATTTTCAGCACTTCATGCACCGACGTTTTTCTTAGAGAAATTAATTGAGGAAGTTTTGGTTGAACATTAATTTAAAGACGCGTCGATCTGTTCTGAATAAAATGACTGACTATCTGCTGCCTGCTGAGATAAAGTGTGAACACGCAGCAGAGATAACGCCGCTGTCTTCCTGTTGCACAATGAGCATCAGGCTCAAGTTTACTCACATTATTTAACACCTCCTCCATTTGCTCATTTCCTGTCAGGCCAAACGGGTCATAAATAAATAAAGTTTTAGCCTCAGGGTGAATCGTTTCGTCTCCGGTTCAGTAAAATCAACCTGAAAAAGAAGAAGTGGAGGGAAATTTAGAAATTATTATTGGTCATAATCTGGTTTACAGAAGCACAGCTAAACAAACAGAAGCACATTAACACTCAATTAGGTCCAAATCTAATCGTCTCATCATGTCATAGATATTATCTATTTATAAAGGAAACATGGTTATAATAGGGCACACACACATATTTTAGATAAAATAATATTGTCACAAACAGTGAAGGAACTCTCTGTTCTGTTGCCTGAATAGTTCACATAAAATGTTTCAGTCACTGCATGATTTTTGTTTTCCTTTTGAGATCCGGCTCGACTGTTCGAAATTTTAAATCTAGTTAGACAAAAGCAAGACGCACGTCAAATTCAGAGTCACAAACTTTACTATGGACAAAAATGTAAAAAATAAACTTTTCTTCTAAAACTGATTCATGGTTACACATGAATTTATACTCCTCCTCACTCAGTCAGCGTGTCTGTACCATAAATAATAACTGAGTAACACTGAATTCATTTTCGAGTAACGCAGAAAAAGCAGAAGTACATATTTTTGGTTTTAAGCATTTTTGTGGCGTTAGATCAGCAGCCAGCCAGACTCAGCGACCGAGGAAACCGGAAACCCAAACGTCTTACTGTAGATACAGAAATCTACTGGCTGCCATCTTAAAGTTCTGATAAAAACCAGGAAATCTGACCAAAACAGGCCAAACTCCTGTCCCTGCAGCGGCTCCAGGTATACAGAAGGATCCATATAAAAGCATTTTAGTGGCTAACTGGTCTGGGTCCAACTGAGTTACTCATCAAATATGAGCCAATCAAAGCACTAAAGCCTGGTTCATATCACAAGTTTTAAAAAATGGAGCAACACACACACACACACACACACACACACACACAACACACACACACCACACACACACACACACACACACACACACACTCTTACAAAACATCTCGAGATGAAATAAGAGTTCAGAGTAAACAAACATGGCCGACAGAGTAAACAAACATGGCCGAATCGAGAAGCAATGATCTGGAATCCATGAAATCCTGTGATGTTCAGGAACTTCAGTCCTTTAAATCAGGACTGAAGGAATTACTGAGTACTTCTAATTTCTCGATACTTTCTAAGGGAAGGTAGTTTGATCCAGCAGCCGACATGCTGCCTCTTCTCCTCCCAGCCATGTGGGTCCATCTGTCTGTTCTGCAGGTTTTTTACGGGTTTGTGAATCATTGTCATCACGCTGCCAATTCATTTCCTCCTAAAAACGAGTCTGTGAGGAAACCTGCCACCACGTCAGGATCCTGCAGAATCTATCGCTGCTGATTGGTTTGGTCTGCTGCTCTTGAAGATTCTTCATTTGGAATAATTAGATGGTTGTTTTCCAGGAAGACGTGCAGTTTTTGAGCGGACACGCTCCACTTTCTATTCCCAGAGCAGCATGATTTCCCAGAGGACTTCAGTCCTCAGAGGATTCGGCTGCTATTCCCGGACTAACAGCATCTAGTCAGGTTGACTCTTCCTAACGAGGACGATAATTACTCTGTGACTTTTTTCTGCCCTATGGCTTCATCCCGGAAAACAATCTGGGATGTTTCGTCATCCCAGGAAAAGCTGCAGGAAGCGTTAAACCTTCAGGCTCATGTTCAGGATGAACGATGGAGATCAGTGCGACCGCAGACTGAAGAGGGAATTCGGACCAACGGTTTTCATTATTTACAATCCAGATTTATATTCAGAGCAACCAGATTTATTATAAAGACTTTTGGCATTAATACAACTTTCACAGCCACAAAAATCCACTTTTCTTGTTTTAACGTTTTCTCTACTCTGATAAAACCAGCTGAGATAAATGCAGGTTATAGTTAATTTCTTCTAATGTTGTAATTAGTAAATATTTGTTTGCAGTTCATTTCTAACAGACTTTGATTTCTGGATCCTCTTACATTTCTGTGACGCGTGTCTGCAGATTGAGATGTTTACTGCAGAAATGTGCGTCACGTCTTATCCAAGGCCAACAACAGAGACTAATGAGCCAACAGTTTTGTTTGTGGACGAGTTGAATAGTTCATGCACACAGAGGAAGAGACGGATTTTAAATCCAGGATCTTCTTGGATCTTTAGAGTAACAGATCTGCCAGCTGTGATCTGCATTAGAAACTCAATAAAGTTAAATCTGGAGCTTTTCTCAGCTCACAGGTGAATGTTGTAAAGTTACCTGGAGAGATTTAACCAGATTAAATGTTTAAAGATCCAGAAAAAGATCCAGATCCAGCAGGAGAAACTTAAACCGTTTTCCTCGTTCATGGCTGATTGCCGGGAGATGAAATGTTTCAACAGGAAAATCTGCGACTTCAAAAATACTTTCTGTCTTTGCTCTGAGAAAACATTTTCTCTTCTCATTTAATCTGATTTTTTTCAGGAGGGTTAATTTAAAATAAAGTGTCCGGTACAGACTCAGTGTGCTAAACTGAAGACGTGGTGCCAGAAGAATCTGCTTTGGGTTTGTTTTAAAAAGCAAAAACAGAGTTTTCTTTCTCCAAGGTCTCTTTTCGTTCACGGTCACATTAAGTGTTCAGGAGTGTTTTATTGCAGCAGCTCTGACCTTCGTTCTGCTGCTAGACAAAGCAGTCCGTCCAAAGCCCAAATGGAGAAGGTGGCAGCGACACGGCGAGGTCAGACGCGACGTTTACAGGCTGAACGTCCTGATGGACGAGGAAATCGGATCAACAGACACTAAAACACGAGAAGGTCGATGTAAACACAGCACTCAGCAAAACGGAGAAGTGTTTAAACCAGAGCAAAAGTTCTCATCTGAGGGAGGAAGTCCTGCTGAAGAGGAAGAAAAACACTTATTTCTGTGTTTATACGTCACCGAATTAGGTTTATTCAGATAAATAAGTTATGACGAAGCAGTTTTTCCAGGCGATTCTGATCGGAAATAAATCATCAGCTCGTCTCTTTAAATTCATATTTATTTCTGCTTTCCTACAAATCCTGATGAAATTCAAGAAGAAAATTTACTGTAATTTAATTAAAATAAATTTAGATGAAATAATGGATCGAAATATGAATAAAAGTTTAGAGAGAAATAAAAGTGAAAACACCAGAAAAACAGAAAAGCAATTTCTAATTTTAACTAAAAACTATAAAAGTTATATGAAGATATCAATAGTTAAACATTTTAAAATATTAAAACCAGTTATACATATATTTGTTCGATACGTATTTTTTTTAAACCTTGAAAACCTTTTTAAAAATCTTTAGATAAGACTTTACAATAAACTTTGTCACATAAATGTAACAACAAATAAACCTCAAATACGAAACATAATCTGTGTTTAAAGAACTCTTAATGGGAAAAAGTCAAATAAATCTAAATAAATCTGAAAAAAAAACGACCCAGACATTTATAGGCAACATTAGCTGTGCAGAGATATTGAGGAAGAGACATAAATTACATTTTTTTTTAAATGATATTACTTTCTTCCAGCTGAGCTGAGCTGTTATAACCAGAGGAGGAACAAAAAGTTCTTCATACCTTGAATCTACAGTTTTAGTCTTTTTTAGGGGATTTTTTTTTAGTTCTGGGGGATTTTCACAAGATTTGTGAAGGTAATTTGTCCATTTTGCATTTTTAAGTTATTTCACTGGCTTGTTTGAAACAGTTGGGCATAAAGTTTGAGGCACTCAATCAGCGCTGTAACCAGATGGATGAATGAAACCGATGCTCCCTGGAGGAATGTTTTGCAGCCACATCAGATTTTATGCTAAAGATGAATCATTTTCCATTAAACACTCGACGCCCATAAAACGGAGCGGCGACAGAGCCGTGAGTCAGACAGGAAGCTGTACAGTCAGCAGCCGGCCGGCCGGCTGGCCGGGCCGCGGCGGCCGGCTGGCCGGGCCGCGGCGGGCGGCTGGCCGGGCGGGCCGCGGCGGGCTGGCCGGGCGGCGGCGGGCGGCTGGCCGGGCCGCGGCGGGCGGCTGCCATCATCAGCTGGATCTCTGCCTAACGCAGGCAGGCGCATCATTACGCTCATAATCTGGGAATAATCTGGGATTTGTTGCTTTAGATATCTTGATTCTGACCTGCCATGGTGACATCTGGCCCAGAACCAGCCAGAGGTGTGAAAGTACTCACATTCCCTCCTTCAGTAGAAGTACCTGTATAAAAAATACTCTAACGTAAAAGTTGGATTGTTTTACTCAAATGTAAAAAATTACTAGTTTTGAAACGTACTAAAGTACAAAACATAAAAAGTGATTTTCACCTTCAAGCATTCAAAATGACTTTCGATAAGCCGACCCGACCCGACCGCTATGAGCCTCAGAGGGATCCAGATGATACAAATATATAAAACAAGCCTGATAACCTGGATATTGTTTCAGGTTGTTCTGTTTTCTATCAAAAGGTCCGATACGTCCTGAACTCCCTGCGCTGCAGACAGGAAGTCAGAACCCAGTGATTCAGATCAGGATTTACTTAACTTCTTGTTCCTTTGCATTCAGCAGAGCAAACAAATCAAACATTTCTGCCCGTTTCAGATCATGCAGCTCGGATTGGTCGTCTGAGATTTTCTCTAAAGTTCCTAAAACAACTGAAAGTAATTTCTACAGGAACTGGTGGAGAGATGCACCAAACAGTTGCAGCTTTGAGTCTCCAAGTCCACATAAGTGTTCGATCAGGGGACCAAAGTGTGGCCCGAGGGCCTTTTGCGGCCCTCTGGATGATGTTGTGGCCCCTAAGGGATGATTCTAGAGCGAAGAGAATCTGCACTGCAAAAACAAAATCTCACCAAGTATTTTAGTCTAGTTTCTAATGGAAATATCTCAGCACACTAAAAATAAAACAAAACTAACTTATAAGTAACTTTTCAGAAGGAAATATGAGTTTGATTTTAGTAAATGATTTCTTAATATTGATGGGAGAAGTACCTGCTCTATTGGTAGATTATTTAACTTATCAGACATTTTTTCCCATATAAAGGAAATAATCTGCCAGTGGAACCATCACTCCTAAGGAGTTATTGACTTTAAACAAGTTTATTTGCTGAAAAGTGATTTGTAAGTTAGTTTTGTCTCATTTGAAGTGAACTGAGATATTTGCACTAAAAACTAAACCAAAAATAGTTGGTAAGATTTTGTATTTGCTTAGTGAAGCACAGACAGTTGATGCAGATAGATGGTTTTCTATCAGGCCAACATTTCTCATTAAAATGTTTCTAAAATAAAATGTTGGGCACAACTTAGTCACACATGCCAGAAACGTCACTGAGAGAAACGATGAATGAACTTCATCAGGGCGCCAATGAATGTTGGGTCAGAAAAAGACCAAAAATCTGACGATGAAAAGATTCAAAGGTTTGATCATATTCTAACTTCTTCCACTGGATTTCAGGTTCTGTTTGCTAACTCTGAGTTTGTGAAGGTTTGATAGATTGTGGAGAATGATTTGTGTGTTCTTCATATAAACTCATTAAAATCTCCTCCACTTTGTGTTTCTGTCTCCCGTTGGTTTATCTGAACTTTATCTGAACCGTTTTCATTCTGCTTTACGACCTTCAGGCTGACGGATCACCGCTGTGTGTCAGAGAGAGGAGTTGTGGGCGGGTCAAAGGTCGCACGTTTCTCAGACACACTGTCCCTATTGCTCATTAATAAACAGTGTGTGTGTTTTGTGTGTACAATCTCTATTGACCTTTTAATGAGATGGATTCATGAATATTTTCATTGAACCGTTTTTATTCTTTTCTATCGTTGGTCACACACTGATGTGGGATGCCGTGCAGTGAGATGTGCTGGTCAGTCTGGCTCGACCAACTCTCTCTCTCTCTGTCGGGGGTCAGAGTTCAACCCTACCAGTGGTGATGACGTAAACATTTAATTCACTGCAGTGTGACATATTCAGTCCGCAACCAGGAACTTGCATTGTTTACAGTTAAAATATTGTTTAATCTGTACTTTGACATGTTTAGCATCATTAATATAACATCAGTTTGCATTAAATTTTATAGCTGCAAACCAGGGAACGCATATTTAAAACTTTCATTTGCCAATTTCTGCTCAGACTTATTAAAAGTTATTAAATTACAGCAACTGTTTTCTAATTATTCCATCCATAACAAAAACATTGGCCACTTTTTTCACTGATTGCAGCGGCAAACCGTCGCTTTAGGACATAATGCCTGATATTTCTGCATATATTTAATTGTTCCTGTGAGGACAGCCAGTGGACGGCTGCTAGGCAGCGGCTCGTTAATCCTTCAGATTAAATCAGACTAAGAGTGGACACCAGTGGATACAGTTTGTGTAAATGAGCTGCTGCTGTTTGGGGAATAATGGATACATAAAAACACAATATTATAGAATCTAATTTGGATTATTTTTATGCTTTCCACTTCCCTCTATTCATTTATATCAGGTTTAGAAAGGAAGATTTTAATTGTTCTGGTTCATTTATCATACTGATCAATACTGATCATTAACAGTGATTATTAGTATCTGTTGCAGTTTAAGTCACTGGATTTTCCCTGAATAACAACTGTCCCAATTCGCTGAGTTTATGTCCAAACTCTCAGATTTCCGTCCCATTATGCCCAGATTTCGCTGCCACTGTGTTTCAGAACGGGTCGACTTCCTGTTTCTTGTTAACAATGGAGATTTTTCTGAGCTTCATCTGCAAAAACACAAAATAATATTTTGGTCCACTTTTTGTGCAAATACCTTAATATACCAAAATAAGACAAAACTAAAATTGCAAACACTTTTCAGTAAGATATTTCACATACTCACCATATATTCTGCATCAGCAGAAACCAAGAGATCAAATGGTTCTCATTTGGTGGTTTAACAGGTTATTTGTGTTTTTCTATAAAGAGACTGTGAACACTGACTCATAAAGAAAAGTATATTTATGTCGTACAAAGCAGAAGCTGTTGACGTCTGCTGTATTGTTGTTATTTTTGCAGATTAAATTTAGATATGAGTCAAAATGTTGTAATCTATAGATATAATGAACAAATAATAAAGAAACTACATTTTGTTTGGCACAATTACTTAGCAGGTATAAATAATTCTTTTTATTAATATTTTGATTAATCCGTGTCAAGGCGTCGGTCATCAACTCTGGAAATTCAGTTTTTGTTGGAATTTCTTTCTAAGTTTGATAAATTAGCAGCAGCTAACGGATACTAGCTGCTAACCGTTAGCATTGATTTAGCAACTACGTCACTAAACCATCTGAGGCTGCATGATCATAGTGATGGACGGGAGTCCTGAACAGAGCCACATATTTGTTTCTAAAGTTATTTCTAATTTTATTCCTGGTTCTATTTGTTCCAGTTGAACTAACTTGTCTGTGAACGTCACTCAGCTGGTTGCGATCATATGAGCGGGATTTACAACAGCTAGCTTAGGCAGCTAGTTTAGGCAGCTAGTTTAGACAGCTAGCTTAGGGCTAGTTTAGGCAGCTAGTTTAGACTGCTAGCTTAGGCAGCTAGCTTAGGCAGCTAGCTTAGACAGCTAGCTTAGGCAGCTAGTTTAGACAGCTAGCTTAGGCAGCTAGCTTAGACACGACCCGAACCTGCAAACATCCTGACGTGTTGATCAAATTACAGACTTTGCCTGAACTCACACCACATTATTTATATCACTATGTCATAAACATAGTTTCCCTTTACGTCGGAGATGCTAACGCCATGTAGCATACACGCTAGGCTACATAGCGGTGCGGAAATGTCTCCATGGTTACTAATGGTTAAACCCGTGCCTTTCTCCATAATCCCATATTTATATTTTCTCTACTCATACATACTTATAAGTATAAGACCGTTAGTCTTCTTACCTTGTAAAAAGAGTTCGCTGCAAATCCGCGGTTGCACCGAGGATTATTTTTACTGCTGTCCATCTTTCCACATGAAACGTTATAAATGACTAGTTTGGTTTGTCTGTCTGTGCAGCTAACCGCACAGCATAATATGACCATTTCTAAGGTGAAGTTAACTAAATAAAAGCTACATTAGGTTACAGATGTCTGTGTTTAGACGAGCTTTGAAGGAGCACATTGGTTGTTTCCGCTTCCGTCACGGTGGAGTGGGCGGGGCTCTGAAAATCGTGACGTCACGTGCAAAGGGCCAATACCCTGCCAGGTAACACATCATGGTTAACTTAAATGCAAGTTCATCACCAGCTGGCTGGAAGATGTTCGCTTTAGCCATTTGCTAACTTCTGTTGCAAACACATTACATTTTCTTTTGTACATTTCTGTCAAAATAAAGATTTTAAAAAGTCTTAAAATTGATTTGGGTAAACCTGGAGGAGCCCAGATAAAATTATTACTCTAAACTTGAATGTGAATATGAATGTTTGGGCTGATTTGTACATTTTAACCCGGATGGATTGGTAAACCTCCCACTAAAAGGCCAACGCCGCTGTAAAAACAAAGCCGTGTCTTCAGCTGCGTCCCGCTCTCAACCTCACTAACAGGTTGTGACAGTCTTGGTTGAATGAGTTCATGCCCCCCACGCAGTCCGTCCTCAGTGGGACAGATGCCTGTCCCCAGAAGGACAAAAGTGTCCTTCTGGGACGGATCTGGCTGACACCAGCCAATTAATTCATTTCCTGATAAGGAACTCCAAACAGGAAGTTCCTGGTGTTTAATTGAGAAGCCGTGAACGTCCAGATCAGACAGATTCTCTGCGGCTTGTTCTCCAGACGGGACCGTCTGCTGCTGGCGGCAGTCGGAGACCATGGAAATATCAAACAGGCCTTGGGGTTTTTTTTTGTCTTTGTCCTCGGTCGCCTCGAGTCTCTTATCTGTCTGAGAAAACAGCAAGCGGGCCGAGGCGGCCAACGCATCTGACAAATCCAATCAGTCACATTAACTGGCGGGCGGACGGGATCCACTGCCTCTGCCTCAGTGGACGCTCTGCTGTGTGTTCACAGCATTCAATACTTTTAGTCTAATTAACACAGGGCTTTATATTTATGACCGGGGATTTAGGTTTTCAGTAAAAACCTAAATCATCTCTGATTGAGCTGCGCTGCCTGGCAGAAACCTGAGATCAGGTGAGTTTTGTTTCTCCAGACCTGCTGAAGCTCCAACTGCACCTGTTTCTTCCCCAAACAGAGCCTGAAAGGCTGACCCGGATGTGTCAAACACACCCTGAACACGCTCAACGTTTTACAGGAAAACCGGCCAGAAGCTTCCAGCATTCAGCAGGAAATGTGATGTTAGACGTGTCGCATAGATGGAGACAGAAAATAAAACCCGGGTCTAAATACAGGGACTGCTTAATATTCATACTTCTCTACAGTTCTGTTTGCTTTAAATAGATAACAGATTTTGCTGACACTGTCTAATTTGATGCAGAACAAACAAATATTATCTTAGTTTGGAATATTTTATTATTATTTAAAGTTAAAATTCCTCATCAACATAAAACCTGAGTGGAAATGTGAGAACAAATGTGATGATTTTGCGGCTCATCACATTTTGGACTTTAGCAAGAGCTAATGGCTAATGGCCCAAAATGTAGGACCTGCTATCAGATCTGTTTCATTCAAAAGTTTAATGGTTCTGCTAGAAGTCCAGGAATCTGCCTCTGCCAGCGGGACGCATCTAAAGGCAGCAACGAGGAAACGATGAGATTCTGCGCTGACTCCTGATTGGTTTAACTTTTCTTACACATCCGGTTAGAAAAGTTTGCGAATATCAGGATCAAGGATGTGGAATCAATGTTAATCCAATGAATCAGGATGTATTGATAATCAGAAAGGAGGTCAAGCTGTCAGTTTCACATTCAGTTTAGTGAATCTTCATCAGTGCAGACAGAGCGTGTGCATAGTTTCACGTGAAATAGCGATGTTTTTGTTGAGACTTTTGAACAACAGTGTTGCTCAAGCTGCAAATTTTTAAAACATTTTCTAACAGTCTGTTGTTTCTTGGCTCAGTTGGAGACCAGAGTGTTTACACTGTGATTAGCAAGGTAGCGCCAAAGCATCTCAATTTCCTCCGCTACTGAAATGCATCATGGTCCTGGTGGCGACTCGGTTCAGTATCACACACAGAACAATGCTGTCCTCCATTTTTGTTTTTTGCTGTTTTCTTCCCGTGCATAAAGCTAACCGACCATCATGCATCTTGCCACTGCGTATTTTCACACTGGCAGACTCCTTCACACCTCCGGCGGCGGCGATACAGGAAAGTTGAATCCTGGTTCCAGAAAGCGGCGGTGGGAGACTCCGGTCACTGGCGTCGTGCAAACGAGCAAAAATGTTCCGGTTTCTCTGAAAACCAGAACAGTGTGAACCCATTCTCTCTCGAGTTCATTGAGCCGTTACATTCAGTCCACTGTCACCCAGTGCTAAAACATTACAATCTCACTGCAGACATTTCCATGGGCCATAGTTTCACCACAGCTAAACCATCTGTGCTCTGTGCAGACCTCAGGAGGCCAAGTCAGTCTTTGCCATGACTGGGATGTATGAGTTAGCCGTTTATACCAGCAGGTGTAAATATGCTGATAACTGTTGCTACAAGAACTCCTGTTTGCAAAAATAACACATAACTTCAGACCCAGAACAAATCATTTGTCCTGGTTTTGCAGTCATGGAGGTCGTGTGACTGTCTGAAAGAGACGGGATTCTGCAGAACAAAATGCCAGTGGATCCAGAGAGACGGACATAATCTGTTTCGCTTTCCTGTTTTGTTTTGTCTGCTGTCAGTTTTCTGTGCAGCCAACAAAGCGCTTGGACAGATTTTGTATTCACTGCTAAATGTCTGAGTGGAAAGCGTCTCAAAGCGCCTCGCTGGCTTTCATCTCTGCTGAGTGCGTCCTCTGACTCATAAGCAGCAGCTGAACACACAGCGGCTCTGCAGCCGGATAATCAATACCCATTTCCAGCACTGGACTTTTCTCAAGCTCTATCAATTTGAGGATTGATCGTCTAAACGCCCACTAATGTGTGTGTGTGTGTGTGTTTCTCACCATTTAAGCACACATGGCTGTATCTGTGTGGTCAGTGTGTTTTAAATAAGGCAGTCTGCTCTCCAGAAGCCCCTGGGTGGTAGTTATTGACTCATAAGTAATTCCACCAGCTGGCCAAGGTTAAAAGTCGTGGCAGACAGTAAGACGACTCCAGATTTTTAGAAAACTGCTTCTTGGATTACCAGGTCCTGCTTCTGCAAAGGTGTTCAGGAGTCGCAGGTTTCCTCTGGTTCCTTATGCATCTTTCCCAGACGTTCCTGGTTGAAGGTTTCCAGGTTTTCAGAACGTCTGTCTCTGGACTTTGGCAGCTTCGGTTCTGTAAGTTGCAGATGATTTGGTGATTGTTTTCAGAGGAATGTGTTGACCTCTTAATCAACCAGGCTTAAAAACGAATCAGAACCCATTCTATCCGTCCATCTGTCCTTCTTGCTTACCCAACATGATGAAAGCAACAGCTCAAGCAAACTTCCCCAGATTCTCTCTGTTCAGATTCATCCTGTCTCCTGTCGTCTCTTGCCCTCTGCTGCTGCTTAAATATAAATATTTTTTTAAATAAATTGGACAGAATCTAAATCCAATCGTCACCTTGTTTTAATCTCTGGCCTGACGGATGATGTCAGCCTCCTGAAGCTGAATGTTTGTTGGACAAAAATAGACGCAGCCCCTGGTCCTGCTGCTCGCTTCCACACTGGGGACCAGTACCAATTTCCACAGATGGTGTCGTTTATGTTGGCTTTTCTGCTTTAACTTCCACTTGCAGCTCCGTCAGTTCAGGCTGAGACTGGAGAAAGAAAATACTTCCAGTGAATTCAGTTTTGGATGTTCTTGGAAAGTCAGATCTCTGAATGTGAGCCTTTCCTGGGTCCCTCAGCTTCCTCTCGTTTCTCTTCCAGTGTTTTTATTTGTGTTTGTGAGGTTGGGTCAGATTTTATGCTCCAGTTTTCAAGCTGCTGTTCGGTGAAACAAACTCGCCTTAAATCATCCGGCTGGAGGAAGTTACTGCTTCCATTCAGAAACAGGGAGGGAGCGCACCGTTCTCCATCTGAACTGCTGGACCACAGCACTGATCTGTCCAAACCAAACCGCTTCCTGTCCCACAGCGGGTGTTAGAGCCACGCTAAAAACCATAACAAATAAAATTACAAGGTAAAATCATATGAATATCTTAATATAATGACTGTTAACCACATTTATAGGGAAACCAGGAAAATAAGCAACTTTCTCAATTTCAAGTCCTGATCATTCGTGCAGTTTCTTTACAAAAGTAGATGCTAACATGTAGCGTTAGCTGCTATATGTTAGCATAGACACGAGTTTTAGGTTTAGGTTTCTCTGATAGCATTTAGCACAACTTAAACGCAACAGTCTTTCCCAGCGTCCAATCAGGTCCTGCAGAAGCAGAAATGACCCCCGGTAGCAGAGAAGCAGCTTGTCTGTCGTTAGCGGATGTTAGCTTGTGCATCAAATTTCCGGTTAGCGGATGTTAGCTTTACGGTTAGCGGATGTTAGCTTGTGCATCAGATTTACAGTCTGGGTTGAATCAATGCAGGGAAACAAGTGATTATTAAAAAAATGAACCACTTTAAAAATAATCAAAATTAGCTGGTTAAAGTTAACTTTAACGCACTAAGTGGTCACTAGTTATCTAGTGACCACAACAATAGAAACCTTCTTCCCGCCAGCAGCTGCTCCACTGTGAAGCCATTTAATAAACAGAAATAAAACAGCAAACTTTAATTCACTCTCAGACAATCTGAAGCAACGGTTCCTGTTTTTACAGTGTATTTCATGTATTTCAGCTTTGAGTTGAATTTCCTGAAACATGTAAGGCGAGATATGAGTTGCTGCAGTTCCTGCGTTTTAAAGCTGCAGGCCTTTAATCAGAACCAGAGCTGATGGAGCAGCATCAGTGTGTGTCGCGGCTACTCGCTCGTTGTGTCTGACGAGGCTGAAGCCTTTGAAAATGGAGGTCAGTGTGACACGGAGGGAGAACGTGTGCAGCGTTCCCCCAGGCTGGATTCAGAGGGACCCGATCTGTGTCACGGCTCTGTAGCAGCATGCTGGCTGGATTAGCCTCCTCTCTCTGTGAGGTCCGCTCTTCCTCTGCGGTTTATCAGCGTTATCCCTTTAATAAGCTCTTTGAAGATCCAGATAAGCTCATTATAAATCCACCAGTCACCTCAGCCTTCACACTGCTGGGCTCTGGGTGTTTACTGGGTGTTTACTGGTCCAAATGTCAGTTCCTCACTGCTCCCCGTCTCACCTGCATGAGGAACTCAGACTCCCTGGAGATGAGAGTAATGAATGCAAAAGGCCTCTCTGAAGGTGATTTCCATTGAAGCAAAGCGACCGGTGAAAGGTGTGCGGACCGTCAGGCGTCCGGCTGCTGCGGCCTCCTGCTGTCACATCCGTTTCCCAGGCGACGCTTCAGAGCGAAAACGCTGCAGCCGCTCGCTGACGGCGTTGACCTTTCAGGTGTCATGTTGGATGGCAGCGATGCACAATCAGCTGGGACGGGCAAGCTGAGGTTATCGAGAGCCACGACCTGCAGGAGCCTCCATGTGCTGGGGCAGGAGGGGCAGGAGGACGTCTGAGGGGGGGCAGGAGGGCAGGAGGAGGTCTGAGGGGGCAGGAGGGCAGGAGGAGGTCTGAGGGGGCAGGAGGGCAGCAGGAGGTCTGAGGGGGGGCAGGAGGGCAGGAGGAGGACTGAGGGGGGGCAGGAGGAGGTCTGAGGGGGGGCAGGAGGGCAGGAGGAGGACTGAAGGGGGGCAGGAGGGCAGGAGGAGGACTGAGGGGGGGCAGGAGGGCAGGAGGAGGACTGAGGGGGGGCAGGAGGGCAGGAGGAGGTCTGAGGGGGGCAGGAGGGCAGGAGGAGGACTGAGGGGGGCAGGAGGGCAGGAGGAGGTCTGAGGGGGGGCAGGAGGGCAGGAGGAGGACTGAGGGGGGCAGGAGGAGGACTGAGGGGGGGCAGGAGGGCAGGAGGAGGACTGAGGGGGGGCAGGAGGGCAGGAGGAGGACTGAGGGGGGGCAGGAGGGCAGGAGGAGGTCTGAGGGGGGGCAGGAGGGCAGCAGGAGGTCTGAGGGGGGGCAGGAGGGCAGGAGGAGGTCTGAGGGGGGGCAGGAGGGCAGGAGGAGGACTGAGGGGGGGCAGGAGGAGGACTGAGGGGGGGCAGGAGGGCAGGAGGAGGACTGAAGGGGGGCAGGAGGGGCTGGAGGACGTCTGAGGGGGGGCAGGAGGGCAGCAGGAGGTCTGAGGGGGGGCAGGAGGGCAGGAGGAGGTCTGAAGGGGGGCAGGAGGGCAGCAAGAGGTCTGAGGGGGGGCAGGAGGAGGTCTGAGGGGGGGCAGGAGGGCAGGAGGAGGACTGAGGGGGGGCAGGAGGAGGACTGAGGGGGGGCAGGAGGGCAGGAGGAGGTCTGGGGGGGGCAGGAGGGCAGCAGGAGGTCTGAGAGGGCAGGAGGGGCAGGAGGAGGACTGAGGGGGGGCAGGAGGGCAGGAGGAGGACTGAGGGGGGGCAGGAGGGCAGGAGGAGGACTGAGGGGGGGCAGGAGGGCAGGAGGAGGACTGAGGGGGGGGCAGGAGGAGGACTGAGGGGGGGGCAGGAGGGCAGCAGGAGGTCTGGGGGGGCAGGAGGGCAGGAGGAGGACTGAGGGGGGGCAGGAGGAGGACTGAGGGGGGGGCAGGAGGGCAGCAGGAGGTCTGAGGAGGGGCAGATAATTTACTATAATCAAAACTTTCTGCACAGTTTCCAACAGAAAATCAGATTTCGAGTGAATTCATCCAAACTTCTCATTGTGAAGCACCGTCGTGTTCAGATGTTTGATTTTAAGACACAAACTAAGGATTTCTTCTGTGTTTTGCTGTTTGTATGAATTATTTTGAGAAATAAATTTACTGTTGATTCAAGAAAAGCACCAAAACCACTGAGAAAATCTGTAACTGTTCATTTTTAACTGGCTTTAACCCCACAGACTCTCAGCTTGTTTAAATCAAGAACCGAGTGTCAGTAAAAAGTTCGATCCACTTAATTTACTTGATGTTAAGTTACCAGTAAAGACCCAAAGGTTCCCTGGACTCTGAGCGTTGCCAGGCTTTACCCAGTCTGATTTCCCAGTTTGCTGCGTTCTGGTTGCCAGTGTTTGGTTGTGGAGCAGGACTGCAGAGTTTCATCCGAGCCGCTGTGGAGGCGTGACAGATGACTCGCCAGAGACGGTGAGAAGTTGGAGAAGAATCTGAGGAGACGTGGGCCATCTGCTCCTCAGGAAGCCGCTGCGCTGCCTCCCTCCCTCCTGACGCGCAGCATCGGCCTGATTGGAGATTAATAATGTTCCATAAATACTTTTCCAGCGAGGGCCGATGTTGCTGCGATCAATCATGCGCTTTGTGAGCTCAGCAGCCTTAAGAGGCCGGGTCTGCGCGCTAACTGCTGAACACGGCGGAAATAAAGCAGGACAAAGTAGCTCAGCAGGCTTAATCATGTCAGCGAACATTCCTGTGCGGCGCGAGGAGGAGATGCATCATGTTGACTTTAGTAAAGTCTGCAAATTTAAAACAGAGTTCACCTTCTTACAGCAACGGCTGCTGAAGCTCTGCTGCAAACAAACTGCTTCTTGAAACAGAGCAGAGGATAACAGACTGAAATCTGAAAAGTGTGGCGTGCATTTCCATTACAATGAAACCAGTCAGGAAATTCCAGTGCAACCAGTTCTGTTGATGTTTGTTAGAGAACAAAGAGCTAAAACATAAATTATGATCTCAGGTTTTCTCCATTTTATGTCTTATGTTTATAGAACAAAAGATTTTATTTTCACGCCAAGAGGAAATTCAGGCGTAACGGCAGCGTCACGTATAAAGGTTCACACTAACATGTTCTTACAGTTTTAACAATATATAAAAAAACCAACATTAACAATAACATTAATAATAAGCTGCAGAAGTCTGCAACACAAACTTCATGTCATCAGACTGAAGCAAAAATATGATTAAATTCAACAATAGAAGAATTAATAGTTCAAAATACACCCTGACTTTAATAAATCAATAAAAACAGTTAAATATGATTAAAAACACAGAAACACTGAATAAAACCATTTGCAGTGATTCTGCTCTCTGCCCTCCATCTGTTAGCAGATCTGTTAGATTGCATGATTGCAACACATTGAATTGTTTTGAACAGATTCGTATTTCTCTGCCTTTCTTCTCTGCTGAGGTTTAAAATGGCGTCACAGGATCATATTTACTGTCCTGCAGGTTTCAGTTGGTGTTTTGTTGGACTTGCTGTGTTTCCTCCAGGTTGCTGCAGGGCAGCAAAACCACACGCCCAGCAGGGAGCCGCCGGCCGAGCCGCCATTGTCTGCCGGCTGATTGGAGCTCATTGTCCAGCGCAGTCAAACGACGTGAAGCGCTCCATTGTGGGCCGGAGAAAGCCGAGCAGGAGCGGCGTTCCTGGCAGACGCCAGCCGCTGGACTGACAGGAGTTTAGTGTGAATGGAGGAGATTCAGTCTGTGGCCCAGAAGACATTAGCATTTTGAGCGGATTCGCGGCTGGCGCCGGTCCATTCAGGGAGCAGCAGCGCTGCGTTTCACTGCCTGGAAGACGAGTCATTTAACAAATATCATCTGTACGGAAGAGGATCAGGGCCAATAAATAACTGGAGCTCCATAGGAAGAAGAAGAAGAAAATGTTTTTTTCTCTCTGGATTCTCAGGAAAAAAAGTGAAAAGTTTGAGAGAAAAGTCAGAAATTCAGAGATTAATGTCAGAATTTTGAGGAAAAAGTTAAAACAATTTTTTTTCAGACATAATTTCTCTTATGTACATCTGGAGAACCAAACGAGTCACTTTTAGTTTTTGTCACTTTATGAGACAAACGTTTAAACTAAACTGTAAAACTACGGTTGAAGTCGGACCTCAGCTTCTGTTTTCTGCTCCGAATGCAGAAGTTAAACATCCAGATGTGAACCTGAAGGAGATGCAGAGGCTTTGCTCCATCAGTTCAAACCAACACACTTTCAGCCGTTTCTGCCTGACTGGCTGCATGTTGAAGTTTCCTCCCCTGCAAAGCAGGCAGATGGTGAAACCAACCTTCAGCTGATTGAGGAGCCAGAAAAGTGTGTGTGTGTGGGTGTGTGTCTGTGTGTGTGTGTCTGTGTTTGTGTGTATGTGTGTGTGTGTGGGGCTTTCGTCTTGGCATGCATGGAATGCAACGTTCCACTTTGGATCCGTATGGAGTTCATGAAGTTCCTGGAGTTCAGTCTGTGTTTAACCAGCAGACCTGGTTCCTGGTGACCAGAGATGAAACGGATCTCTGCTGATCTGACGTCAGGCTCTCTGTCTTCATGTGACGTCGTTTTACGCCTCATGTTTCCAATCGCTGACGGAAAACAGACGCGCTGACATGAAGGATCGGTCCGAGATGAGTTTATTGGAGGCGCACGCTGAGCAGTGCATGAAACAACCAGGAAAACCTAAACATCCACAGTTAGCATGAGGCTACGCTATTACATGATGCAACATGTCGCCTGATGCGTTGCTCTTACATGTCCAATGTTTCCATGGTTTGTAAGAGTATTTGCTGTTTTATCTTCTGCTGAAGTAAAACTGGTTTGTAAAAGAAAAAGTGATGAAACGTTTCCACCAGATGCAGCTGGAAGTCCAGAACTTCCTCAGCAGGTTTCGCTTTTCCAGCTTCGCTTCCATCCAATGTCATCAGAATTAAGATCCAACGTTAAAACGCAGTCGATGCTTCGCATTGCTGCGACAAACAGGAACAGGAAGTAATAAAACCAGCATGAAGAACGGAGGCGTTGTGCCTCTGGTACGGCACAGATCCGTTACATCAGAGTTCATCCGTCTCTGCACCATGAAGAGCATCAACTTCCTCAGAATAACTGAAAACTGATTGTTTTGTGTTGGTTTGTCATTTAAATCCTTAATTAGTTAAATGTTTGTGAATGACTTTGTAAAGGCCTGGAAAACAGCCATTTACATTAGAATATTGAGTTTTCCTTTATTCTCTCCTTCTGCTTTAGAGGCCAGAGAGTTAAAATGGGAGGCAAGCTCAGCAAAAGAAGAAGGGATACAATGTAAACGACGACAAGTCCAAAGACGCCAAGGCAGAGGGCGCCTCGGCCGAGGAGAGCGAAGCGCCGAAGGACAAGAAGGACGAGGCCCCCGCGGCCGGCGACGCTAAAGAGGTAGCGAACGACACGGCGGCCAAAGAGACGGCGGCGGCGGACGCCGCAGCACCGAAGGACGAGGAGAAGAACGCCGCTCCCACCGCCAAGGAGTCGGAAAAACCTGCCGCCAACGCCGAGCCCAAAGCAGAGGCGCCGAAAAGCGCCGACGCTGCCAAGGCTGACGACAAACCGGCCAAAGAGGAGCCGGAGGCGAAGGCCGCGGCGCCCGCCGCTGCGGCCGACAGCAAAGCGGAGGCCGACGCCAAAAAGACTGAGGCCCCCGCTGCACCGGCGGCCAAAGCCGAGGCGGCCCCGGCGACCTCGCCTGACCCCAAGCCCACAGAGGCAGCGGCTCCCGCGGCGACCAAAGATGGCGCCGCCGCACCTAGTTCAACACCAGCCGCCGACGCTCCGGCCAAGGAGGCGAACGGCACGGAGCCGCCGAGCAAGGATCAAACCGTAGCAGTTCAAGATTAATGGACAGCTTCTTTCCAAACCAAGAAACAAATGACCTAACTCAACGATGACAAAGATTTAAAGATGAAATTACTAGCCCGCCCATATTGTTACGATAACAATAATAATAATAATTGTAATGATGATGATGATTTGTTGAAGAAGGAGGACTGGAGACGTTTCCCACCAATGCGTATGATTATTGCTATTATTATTGTTATGTTTTAATCTATTTTTTCTGCTGTAGTATTTGAACTTTGATACGAGTCTGTGTCGGCCGCGCGCCTTTGCAACGTCACCTTCATCCTTCATCCACTCATAACCTCCAGAAGGCCTGCATTCATGCTCTCACCTGCAGCCTCTGCTGCAGAGGAGTGAGAGGTCAAAGGTCATTTCACCAGCTGGATCTGCGTTACATCTGTCCAGTCTTGTGACCCAGAACGTCCCGTCTCCCGGCGGTGGAGCTGCGACTGTTTGGGCTGAGAATGCTGGAGCTTCCTGGGGAATTTGAAAGGTTGAAAATCGCTGGCTTTGCAAATAACTGTAGGATTTTTTCACATAAACTTCTACATTTTGTACTGAAACCCTTAGCTATATTGTAAGAAAACTAAGTGGTTTTTTAGCATTTGTAATACTTAAAAAATTTGCAAAGCCTTGCCAAGAATACCTTTAAAATGTTCCAATGAAGCTTAAAGTGATTCTCTGGTCTTTCAATCGGATAGAAAGCGACACATCCAGCCGACAGGCGAAACTCTCAGCTCGTCTGAACTTCCTTGTAAGGATAAAACGCTGATGTTTACTGAGCTTTGGAAAGGACGTGTCGAGTTGTGTCTTTCTAAAGACGGCAGACTAAACTGGCATTCAAACATCCTGCGAAGCTTTTCCTCCCCGATAGGAAACCAAATCCTGTAAAACTGTAACTGTCAGGTTTTACATTAAATACTTCAGTATTTAGGGAAACCTCTAAATATTCCTGAGTCTGAGCGTTGATGCCGTTTTCTTCACTTCAACATCCTGGTATTTAGAGAAGAAATGACATAAAACGGTAGAATATTAATATCTTAATATCGTGAATTGTTTGTCAAATTTGACTCCCAAGATATCCTGCCTGAGACTTGATACCGATGAGTCTTTAGAATTAAGTCAAAGATTTCACCCTTGAAGAAACATTTTCTGTTTCCAACAGAAGTTCTCACTTTTCAATCCATCCTGTAACAAACTCCAACACAGAAACAGCTGTGTTGGATTTATGCAGCTGCATATGAAGCAGCAACACCAGCAGACAACTGGAGATCAGCAAACATGGAAAATCATTCCTATTTAAACGAAACGTCAGGGAGCCAAGGACTCAGCCTTGGGGTTCACACATACTAGCTCTTGGAAATGATTTCATGTCCCTTGTAATAACACATTGCTCACAATTTACAAAATATAAGTACGACTTCTTTAAACTTAAATTTGAAAACATCATGTTCAGTTATTTCTGAATGAGTGTCATGATTTAAAGTGCCAAATACATGTTAAGATCTGAAATTGTTGCAACTCCGAGCTAAAAATGGATAAAAGCTGCAGCTGTTTCCACCAGAGGTCTTTAGTTTGGGAAAAAAAACTGATATGATGAATCCTTTTTGTTAGCATGTCTGTTAGCATCCCATCTGTAGCTCTGGAGGACACTGGAAAAATTAATGCTGAATTAAAAAATGAAAAGGGAAAACAAAGTTTATGAAGAAGTTATTCTCCTATCTTTGCAACGTTCAGATTCTGCTTGTGACCCAGTTGTCCTCCAGTTCCACCAGTTCCACCAGTTCCACCAGTTCCACCAGGCTCCAGTGAAACTAATGTCTTTGTATCGTTGGAGAGTAAAATACTGAGAATACCAGCAACCTAAACTCCGACCGCCAGGCCTTCCTGTTCCTCCTGTGCATAAATGCAGGTTTAAGTGTCGTCGCCTCACCGTCCGTCTGTCCGTCTGCATCCACCGACACGCGGCGTCTTCCTTCCAGCACTCGTTGAACCGTAGCAGAAACAAACATCCGAGGACGGTTGTGTGTCACTTGATTATGTTTCTTTTCTTCCTCTCTTGACTCAGTAATTGCATGTCTGTGGTTGGGTGAACCTGTAGTCCTGTCTTTTTGGTCAAGTGGAAAAAAACTAAACAAAACAAAAAAAAAAAAAGTATAGATAATTTCTCAGTCTGCATCCATGCCAACTACAATCGATATTTTCATTCCATGTCTCACCGCCGCTATTTCTACATGTTCATTCAAGCAAACAGACAAAAAAAATGATATGGAAATTGATGCGTTAAAATTCTATGTACTTGTATAAATGGTGCAACAGTAATAAAATAAAAATAAAATTGACGTAAAGATCTTGTGCAAGTGATTTTTTATAGGGAACCAGAAGAACTACCTGGGAATTTGCTGTGCACAGGTGTGACCACTGTTAATATACAATTAATTAATTCTCCATGTGAAGACGATGTCTGCTACTAAAGCATAAAGGTGTTTTTACAGAAAATAAGAAAAGCAGAAAAAGAACGTTTAAATAAAGTGTCACCCAGCGTAGTTTCTATATTTGTTTGGTGACAGAAATAAAAGATGCATGACATCAGCAACGGTTTAGCAACAGATGCTTTAAAGCTTCAGTTTGAAGTGGGAACAACATGTAGATGCCAAGCAAAAGTGACCCAAGGGCAAAACCCTGAGGAATCCCACAGGTGACATAAAGCAGTCCAAACCTGGAAAATAACGTTTGCTTTGGACATAAAGGTGAATCACTTTCTGTTCTTTGGAAAATAAACGATACAAATTTCCAGGGTTGAGTTGTTAATGTGTTTGGTCTTCAAGCCAATGAAAGTTTAAAACCTGCTCACTGCAGCAACAACGCAACTGCCAACGCAAAAAAAGCTGCCGGATATTAACTACATTTTCCAAACGGTTGAAGAGTTGAAGTAGAAATCCAGTAGCGTTGCTGGACTGGATCAAATCAAAGCTGCTCCGGCTCTCAGATCTTTCTTTACGTTCACTTTCTGCAAACATGTCAACTATCTGGATGCTCACAAACCAGTGAAGCTTTATAAATACAGCTGAAACACTGGACTTTAAAAACCCAGAGAATAAACCTTACGTTTTTCTCTGCCATAAATTAAACTCAGCAAAACCAGAGTTTGATGAGACCATTGAGATTTTGGTAACGTTGAAAAACACAAATTCATAATGGCCATGTTTCCATGAAGTAAGAAACGTACTTAAAATCCCACACGTTTAAGTTTGTTCACACAGTGAGTAATAAAAACTTCATCATCCTACCACTTCCTGTCGTCTTCTTTGTCGTTTCCGCCAGTAGTAATGTCCGGCTGTAGATCATGTGATTCGAAGTGTTTCCATTTTGATCCTAACACAAAAAACATTTAATCAGAAAACATTAGTATTAAGTGAATTTATGTTTGTAATTTCAGTTTGCTTAACTTTATGATCCATGGAAACCAGCTGGTGTGGATTTCCTGACATTAACCCAATCAGAGGCGGCTTGGAGAAACGGATCAAAGATGGCTGACATGATCAACAAATTTACATTCTGGTTTTTCTTCAGTCTGCTTGATTTTACTCAACGATGCAACAACTGTAAGGTTCCTGGTGATCTGCAGGACTAAAGGTTTTGTTGGTTGAGTCACCAATAAATGGACTGTCTGCTGTTGGTTCTCGCTCATCTTGGAGGAGGGATTGCTGCACAGCCAGACTCCTCAGGAAAAAATAAAAATGTTTTATCACTGGAACCGATTATGTGATGAATGTGGAATGCATTCAGATGACTTCAGGCTGACTGAATAAATATCAGAACCGTTAGTAAATACTTTTTTACAGCACCGTATGTTTCTAATCATAATTTATAACAGAACTCACTTCCTTTTTATTGTTCATTATGAGACAAAATCAGGTGGAGACGGTTCTGTTTATGCACTTCATTTCAATCAAAGTAAATAGGGAGTAAATACAAAAGCAAACCACACTTTTCAGATTTTCATCATTTTAAAATTTTTAATTTTTTCACCTCACATTTATGCACCAGTTTTGTGTTGGTTTGTGGACATAAGGCAAAAAAATGCATAGAAAATCAGAGTGAATTATTAATATTCAACAATGTTTTGCTTCTTTTAAGAGAAACAAATGTCAGTTTTTACTTCCTGATGGTATCGGCTCTGTGCTCCGACTCAGAGTCTCGTTTCGTTCAGTTGACTCGGATCATTCAGATAAAATTTTATTAGATTGTCTCTGAACGTAGCCGCCGCCTCGGCTGGGTTATAATTTAAAAGAAAGGAAAATATTGATGTGAGCAGAGGAATGAGGAAAAGTCTGAAGCTTCGCCAAACATTGATGACTGATGGCTTTATCTGCTCAGCCTCCCTGCTGCTGTTAATCGTGAACCTCATCTCACCGTCTGATTTATTTCAGCCCGTTTATCAATCATTAAACCGTTCCCACGTTTTGAACCCGAGGCAGAACACGGTCCGATAAGAGAGGAAGCAAACACAGAAACAGGAACTGGACGAAAACCATCCAGTTCTCCTTCGAATGAAACCCACAGAATAAACAGAGCAGAACCTCAGATACCTGCACAGGTGTGAAAACACTTTGGCTTCCTGATTTCATGTATGTTTCTCACATTTCACTGTTGAAAAAATGTGAAAAACAAGTAAAAAAAAAGAGGAAATTGGAAAAGAGCAAACATATGGAAGCTCATTTCCACCAACAGGGAAAAACAAAAACTCAACAGGAAGTCATAATTATGAGCTTTGAAGTCATAATTCAACTTTTTTCATATATATGACTTTGAAAGTTGAAATTGTGACTTTGTATCTCATAGCTATGATTATTAAACATTATGACTATTTTATCATTTGAATCTCATAATTGACTTTCTACCTGGGAATTATGACTTTCAATCTCATATTTGCTACTTTTAAACTCAAAATTATGACAGCTGGTTTCAGCTTTTAATTTTATTTTCCTGGAGCTTCCATAAAACTCTTTTTCAACATGTGGAGCTTTAAAGGTCCATCAGTTCAGTGAGTAGAACTAAAACCGGATGATGAAGTTTGGTTTCATTTATTAAAATCAGACGCAGAAAAAGATCTACTGAGCGATTCTGGTTCTGGTAGCAGCCAGAACCTGCGTGTGCACACCTATACACACACACTTACACACACACACACACACACACACACACGTCTGCCTGATAACTGTCAGAATAAAGCTGGCTTACAGCGAAGCACAATGGAGAAAAGAAAGCTTTTGTCTCCACTGAGTGCTGTTACAAATTTCACTCTGTCAATCGACGCGACTGTGATGAGAGTCAGACAAGCTGTAATTACACAGGACTCATTTCTGTCACATCCACTGAAAGAGACACAAAATGCCAAAGTGATGATCTGAATTTAGCTTTCTGCACTGATTAAAAAGCCCCATCACACACCAGGATGTGCTTTTGATACGATTTGAAGCATGAAAGCACAGAAACATGGCCGCTTATCAGCAGGCTGCAGACCCGGCGGAGGGTCAGGAGACGGAGTCAAGCATCTCTCATTTCTGGATCTTTGTCTGGCTTTGGTCTGCAGACACTGAGCGCCGTCAGAGACGTTCCAGGACGGAGCATCAGGAACCAGAAGACACTTTCTACCAACGATGCTCTTCCACTTGGGTCTTATTCTGGTGCTGCACTCATTTTAACACAATTCTAAATGATAAAGTAACTGAATAATAATAATAAACTAAATGTACAGATATAATTTAGAAAGAGCAGAAATTATGATGTGGAGTAAAAATTAAGTGTGTAAATTTGTTTAATATGGGAAATATTTGTATGAGACAAGATTCATGTTCCTTTTCCAGCTGGATATGAAATTATTATTATTATGATTATTATTATTTTTTATTGTTTGAAATGAGATTTCTTTTCATGTTGGATCATGGAAACGAACAGATTCACTCTGAAGAACATAAAGAGATCCAAGATGGCCGACCATCAGTTCCTCACAGCTGCACTTAAAAAGCAGCAGTAAAACAGGATTTATGCAGACGAGCGACATGAAATAATTTAGTGCAAAGACATGAACAAATGTTTATAATCAACAACTTAATATCTGGTGCATCATAAAGCAAATAAGTAGGAAAAATAAGACCCATTTTCTTATAAAATGATAAAAACTGAGTTTTATGAGATAAATTAAAACAGTCGAGCTGCATAAGGTCGTCTGTTTACGACGTTTCCTCTCATTATCTTTCACTGTGAAGCGTCTTTCTCTCCAGAAAATGATCCGAATGTCGTCTTCATCCCACTGATTTTATGAGATCAGTTTTAGCATCATGCATTATTTTATGACATGGTGTGAAAAACAAATTTTACAGTGAAGTTTCTGCAGCTCAGGTCTGCTGCAGTCCGCTGGGAAAGCAGAAAACAAACCCAGTTACAGAAAGGAGCATTCGCAGGGTTTTTATTTCCAGCCTCTTGGTGGAGCGAGTGTGAAATATTCATCACTTCCCATGATCCCCCCCTCACTCCTCTGTTCTTGCGTAATCTTACATAATGCTGCAAATGTTCAGCTGAAGGAACGAGAACTAAAGTTGGAAAAAAACAGATGCAAAATACGAGGAGTCAGAAACATCAGAAATGTGAGAAATAGTAAGATCGGAAATATCAAAGCATCTGAATATGAAACATAAACCTGATGTTTAAACCCACAGAAATCTGCAAACATGATGACGGAAGCGAAAGCTAAAGTTTGACATTTAAAATGATCCAAATGTCAGAAATTCAAAAGTTTCCTGGTTGAAGTTGTTGAGAAAAACAAAAGATTTTGATAAATAAATCAAAGTTCAGCAGGAAATATAATCAGTCAGTTTTAAATTCAGCTCCAGTTGTAACATCTTGATGTTTTTTAGGTTTCTAGTTTTTGTGTTTGAGTTTTTTTCTGTAAAATTATTTTCCAGAAAACTGAAGGAATCAAAAGTTTTACTAGTAAAATTCAAAACGATAATTGTGAACACGTTTAAAATCCAGTAAACTGTAACTAAATGAAGAAAGGAGTTTGCAGAATGAGATCCTGGGGTTCATTGGTTCCACTGACTTTTACTGCAATAAAATATTTACATTAATGTCACAGAATTTAATGTTTGACAATGTTCAGTGATTTTCCTTTATGTTATTAATATAATAATAACATAATGACATGGTGATAATAATTTAATGTTAATTGAATCCAATTACAGCAAACATAAATTGTTTTGCGCAGTGAGATCATCCTGAGTGTTTTTAAATGAGTCATTAATAAACAGAGCGATAATTAGTGCCTTGATTTTATACATTCACA